CACGTATTAGTGGAGATATACTTTGTCTTTTATATGCTGTCTATTAATTATGCCAATTTTTCAAAATGCACGCAGTAGATAGTAAAGTGTTCCTGCCACAGAAGGGACAAATAATTAGCGTGACTGCATCGCACCATTCCCTGACGTTCCCTTGTCCATCTGTTGTGTTCCTAAATCAGGACTAGGAAGAAAAACTACAGTGAAAACACAAAATGTCACATGACAACATCTCTTATGACTTTCTATGAAGGTCACGTCTATAATCATATCCTGTTGTTATGCATTCCTAAGGAAATTCATGAGAAAAAAAAATATTGTGTAATACATTATCACATTATTACACGTCATTATAATATTGTATAATACATTATCATGCATTATAAATCATTGACATTATAAGTAGTGTTCATAACATGCTATAATCACTAAGCGCCACTTTGCGTAGCACATTATGAGAAGATATAATGGCAAAATAATGTGTTATAAGCATTACTTAAAGTAATGACCAATTTATAAATACATTATAAACAATGCTACAAGCTGTAATGACTTTTCATAAATAATCATAACAATGCCTAATGAATACGTCATAACAACATACACACAGCCTTCATAGGAAGTGATACTATATATTGGAGTTGATGTCAAATGATTTTTATATATATATATATATATATGTGTGTGTGTGTGTGTGTGTGTATGTGTGTGTGCTTTATGATGTCCTATCAGCTTCTGATATATTATATATGACCCAAGTTATAATGCATTATAACCTGTGGTGCAGATAATACACTAGAACCTGTGTTATAGTTATATACATAACATTTAATAAAGCATGCAGTATATGACTTCATAAAGCCATTCAGTATGACACAGCCTCTGGTATATTATCTGTCCCACAAGTAATAATGCATTATAACCTGTGGTGCAGATAATACACTAGAACCTGTGTTATAGTTATATACATAACATTTAATAAAGCATGCAGTATATGACTTCATAAAGCCATTCAGTATGACACAGCCTCTGGTATATTATCTGTCCCACAAGTAATAATGCATTATAACCTGTGGTGCAAATAATATATCAGGGCCTGTGTTGTAGTGCATAACAGGAATTTTGTTGTAGCCTGACTTTATGAAGTCATATATGCTTTCTTCTTCTTCTTCTTCTTCTTCTTTCGGCTTTTCCCTTCAGGGGTCGCCACGGCGAATCATCACTCTCCACCTATCCCTATCTTCTGCATCCTCAACACTTGCACCCACTAGCTTCATATCCTGATTTATTACCTCCATATACCTCCTCTTTGGCCTTCCTCTTCGCCTCCTGCCTGGCAGCTCCATGTCAAACATTCTCCTACCAATATACTCACTCTCCCTCCTCTGAACATGTCCAAACCATCTTAATCTGGCCTCCCTAACTTTGTCCCCCAAACGTCCAACATGAGCTGTCCCTCTGATGTACTCGTTCCTAATCCTGTCCAACCTCATCACTCCCAAAGAGAACCTCAACATCTTCAGCTCTGCTACCTCTAGCTCTGCCTCCTGTCTCTTCCTCAGTGACACTGTCTCTAAACCGTACAGCATGGTCGGTCTCACCACTGTCTTGTACACCTTCCCCTTGATTCTCGTTGATATTTTTCATATATGTCATATATGCTTTATAAACTATAAATAAGTAACTTTCCCTGGTTTATGTTAGACATTATAAGGTGTTATGCACACTACACGACAGTGCATTTTTAATACATTACGAATACAGTATTCCTATCACTTGAATATTAGAGCAACATTTTGGAACTACACCAGATGTAGCGAGTAATAATTATATGATTGCTCTCTATTCATATTCACATAGTTTACCTGGCTGACATTAAACTTAAACACTCAGGGTGCAGTCACCTATTCATCATCTCATTCCTGTCTGTTCATACAGTAATTACCGCAGTTCACCTTAAACGGCCGGAACGCTTCTACGGAAGTGTTCTTCTGAATGGTCAAGTGATTATGGTCTTATGCTCATCATTGTTCATGGTTAAATCACACCGTTTTGTTCGGAATGCTGTATCTGGTGTAGCTGTGACTCATCTGTTACAAGCAACACTTTCTTCTTCCTTTTTGCTTGTTTTAATTGCTCTAATTTGAATCCGCGTACATGCAAACCAGAGTACATGTGTCCTCCGCTGACCAGGACACCATCATGAGCATTTTACTGTGCTGTGAATGTGAAAGCAAGACGTACAGGCCATGTCACAGCTGACGTAAATACCTACATCATAACATCAGTTCACAATTCTGAACACCATTTCATCATTCCAAATACCATTCTGAGCACCATTTCGAACACCTTTCTATAATTAAATCCAAATAAACACCTGTTCATCATTCTGAACACCTGTCCACCATTCCAAACACCATTCCACCATTCCGAACACCATTCTGAACACCATTCCAAACACGATTCCACCATTCTGAACACCATTCCCTCATTACAGATACCATTCTGAACACCATTCCACCATTTCGAACACCTTTCCATAATTAATCCAAATAAACACATCCATCATTCTGAACACCATTCACCACCCTGAACACCATTCTGAAAACAAGTCCGCCA